CAATGTGCAAATTGGAACTTTATCTGATGAGAGTCCAATGGAGAAAGGAAATGAATCTTGAACCTGATAATGGCAACATTGAACAAATTACAATCATGATATATATAGTACCTAGCACCATGCACGTGAAAATGGGCATGCCAGCATATGCAGTTGCACATAAAATATGATGTTAATTTATTGATGGTCACAACAAAGTAAACTGAAGGAAGAAATTGAACTTATAATGTTCATGTGACCTCTGAGAGAGAGAGAGAGAGAGAATGATGGATACTAATAAATGACAACCCCACACACAGCCAGGAGAGAGAAGGAATTAATGTGCATTTGTCCATGGTAAAGCACAAACCTGGTATTCTCTAACTCGAAGTATTGGGCTCAGCATTGCACAATGAAGAGCACAACCACGAGCCACACACTCGCTTGCATTTATTCTCCGGCTTGGCTCTCTCTTGAATAGAGAAGCTAGCATTCTAGTAATTGCTGGTATCCTAGACCCAGAACCAACAAGTTCAACCGAATGAATATTTTCTACAGTCAGGCCAGAGTTAGCCAGGACCTTTTGACAGGGAACACTAATGCTTTCCACCAAACCTGATGACAGCCTTTCAAACTCCTCCCTCTTAATAAAACCTCTAACATCTTTTTCATCCATCAAACACTCTATATTAAGTGGTGCCTCTGCATTTGCACTCAAGACCTTCTTCAATTTCTCACATGAAGCCCTCAACCTAATAGATGCCTTCATATTAGTACAAACATCAATGTCATCTTTCTCCTTGAACTGTGCTGCAAAATAACTGAAAAGAACCTCATCAAAGTCTCTCCCTCCCAGGTTCCTGTCAAATGCATGTGATAATATCTTCATTTGTCCACTCTCGAAAGATGCCAGACAGACCTGGGTGTCACAGTGACCAATATCAACAAATACAACATAAGTTGGGCCTGCATTGGAGATATCATTTTTGTAAATGCCATATCCTAGTGCAGTTGCAGTACAGTCATGCAACAACCGCAAAGGTCGCAGTCCAGCAATTGCAGCTGCATCCAAATAAGCACGTCTTTGCAAATCCGTGAAGTAACATGGAATACCAATAACACAATCAGAAATAGGCATCTCGAGACTCTTCTCTGCTATTTGTTTCAAATGAGAAAATAACATCCCCAAAATCTGTACTGGACTAAACTCATGAATCTCACCCAAGTACTGCACCTTAATCAAAATACCACCATCATGGCCCTCTACAATCTCAAAAGGAAACAATTTAAGATCATCTTGAACCTCAACTTCTTTAAACTTCCTCCCAATCAATCGCTTAACCTGAGAAACTGTCGATTTAGGATTCATAGTCAAAGAAGCAGCTCCCTCTGAGCCCATAAATCTCTGTTTCTCAAAAAAAGACACCACAGCCGGTGTCTCACGATTTGATTCATCGTTCAACAAAACATCAATCCCACGTTCCTTTGCTACTGCAATCACACAATTCTCGTTCCCAAAATCAAATCCCACCACACTCATTTTCACTAAACCTCACAAACTTCACACCGAAATAATTAAAACACTAAACCCACATTTCCTCAACTTTCTTAGTTTTAATAAATCAAAAATCCCTCAAATCCCATCTGAAAACAGCAATCAAAATCACAACCTTTGCCACTCTGAAGCTTAATTTATCTGCATTGAAGCACAAAACAATCATAAAAATCACAACGTTGCCCCTTTGAAGCTTAAATTCTCTGCACTAGAGTATAAAACAAGCTTAAAGATTACAGATTTTCCACCTTGAAGCTTAAATTCTCTGCATTCAAGCATAACCCACATAAAAAAATCAATTCAGTTTAAAAAAAAATCATTAAATTGACCATTAAGCTCTCGATTAAGAATTTAAAAAATCGACAAAAACAATAAAAACTGTTATTTTCTACACTAAGAAACTAAAAATCACTGTTACATTATAGCATGCAAGTCATTTAAAAGAGAGTCTAAGGAAAAAAACAAAAAAATTCTTTCATCTTCCTACATTTTCTCAGTAACCAATCAGAAGATAAAAGAGATTGTACCTGGAATCGAAGGGATGAAACTGTAGAGAAATTGTAGAAGGGACTGTTTGTTTGTTTGGGTTATTAAAATAGCTCTGAAGATCTCTTCTTAAGAAGTTAACAGGGAAAATCAGGAGCGACGTGTCATTTGTCGAATAACAAGTGACATTTCTTCCCCTTTTTTCTTTCTTGCCTAATTTGGTACAATCCAGTATGCTAGAGGTTAGCCCTGAATTATAAAATATCTGATCTTGATCTTTATACCTTTTCTTTTTTTCTCTTTTTCTCCTCAAAGTTGGAAAAACCGGCGCCGCTAAAGACACGGGCTTGAGCGACTCAATTTAAATTAACATAAATCAATCCAAAATAACTTATTTCATGATTTAAAATAAAATTAAAATTAAATAATTTTAAAAAAAATTAAAGAACAAATAAATTAGTTGGCTGGTAAACTTGTCGGCTTGACCTAATCAACTCTAAACCAGTTTGAAGAAAACTCAATCTAAATTAAATTTTAAATCTACAAATTACTAAATTGATCTATTTTATTTGAATTTAATAATACTATACTTTCGTCTACTAGGGTTTCATGTATTATCAACTTAAAACCTATATTTGGTGAGATATTTAAAATTTCCATGTGAGTTTATTCTACAAGTTATCCATATAATAGTATCATAGAAATGAGGCATATGAATAAAATTTATGCCATCCCATCTAATAATTCATGTATATAGTGTTACGGTATAGAGTTGTTTTTTATAATTAAAAATATATTAAAATAATATTTTTTTAATTTTTGATATCGACATTTTAAAACCATCTAAAAATATATAAATAATACTAATTTAATTCTTTTCAAGAGAAAAATAATTTAAAAAACCCTTAAAAAAACAAAAAACTACTACAAAAACAAATACTCACTCAAGAAATGTGGGTTATATACATAGATAAACCTCTATAAATTAATACCCTTAGAACCATGAAATTTTTTTAACTAATTGAGATATTATTTGAATATTAAATTTAAATTGAGAATAAATATTTAGTTCATATTATTAATTTATCAAGGTTATACGGTAATTGTTTGACCATGTTTAAATAACATGTGTAATTTTATGGATAAAAAGTACAATAATAAATTTAATTTCACTCCTGATATCTATGGGATCTTTCAATCAATTTTCTTAATTTTGCAAATCCCCCATTGTCCATATTTATCCATTTCTATCTACAATGGTAATGGAAATATTTATAAATACCAATTTCATTCTTAAATTTTATATAAAAAAAATCTTAAAATTACCTAAAAACTATATAAAAAATAAACTAAAATAAAAACTTGAAATTAACAAAAATAAAACAGAATATCAATAAACAATTTTTTTCCAGTAAAACACAAATATGAAAAAAAACAATAGTTATTTTATTGGTATAAGATTTTCTTGGATAATATGGCTAAGCCCGAACACTTTGAAGGGCCATTTTTTACTTATACCATTGGTTTTTATCATGAAATTGATTAGTTTCTTATTGTATTTGAATTTCTTAACTACTTACATATCTTCAATATTGAAAAAGCATTTATAGTTCTTTTAAATGTGAAAATTCTAAACTTTATGTAGACAATACTTAACTGGATTGAGCCTTATTAAATATAGGCCCAACCCAATTCTCAAAGCTCATAAGCCCATGAAAAAGAAGTGTCCCATGTGCAATGCCCACCAATAGAAAAGAAGGGCATATGATGTTGCCCAAATTTGGTAATGTGCATGCTTGAGATAAGTCGATAGGCATTTGTAATTGTGTTTGAGTGAATTTTAGATGTTTGTTTGATTTAAAAACAAATATTAAATTGATTTTTTAATTTTTTAAATGTTTTTAATATGCTAATATAAAAAAATAAAAATAAAAATAAAAATTTATATTAATATATTTTTAAATAAAAAGTACTTTTAAAAAATACTTTATAATACAATATGAAACACACTTAACATGTAAGGCTAGCACAAGCTAAAATTTGCCATGACTTCAAAGCTTTTGAGGGTGTCGACAGACACAAGTTCATCCAAACTACTTTGTAAAGTTATATTTATCAGGTTGGATTTAGATTTAAATTTGAATTTAGAGACTGATTCAAAAATTTACCAGGTCGGATTTAAATCTCTAGCTTGATTCGAGTCAAGAATGATCAGGTGAATTAACACTCAAAGCACTTATAAATGAATCGATTTTTGGTGAGTCAATATGTTTAACTAGAAAATGAACCAGGAAAAGCTTCGAATTTTAAGTTTCTCGGATCAAATTTATCGTAAGAGACTCGGTATAGCAACCATCCATGAATCAGAAGTCAAAAAATACACCCATATTGGAAAATATTAATTGCGACTACTGGATCATATGGGTTGGTTTTAATAGGGTGATGATGCCCCAGCTGCTACGTACTGGCTAGCCAATCAATAATTATAAATGGGGGAGTAAGAAGACAGTACGGCATGAATGGGAAAGTTCCAAGAGTATCCGGGTTGCCACTACTTTTGAGACGTAAGGGATGGTTTGTGTGCTTGTGCCCTTTTCCAAGATGAAAAAGGCGTTGTGCTTTGCATACACCGCTTATAATTGACCATCTTGGCTTGTCTAGGACAATAGAAATGCTCAATTTCATGCCCTACCATGGCATATTAATCATTCAATCACCTTAAATTTAACAATATAGTATGGAATTTATAGTGGTGGGGGAACACAGACTAGCAAGGAAAGATGCGCCGACAAGTAGTGATTCTTACTCTCATTCCTTGCAAGGAACTACCTAGACATGTATATATGATCTTCGATTTAAGGTTTCCTTCGAAAAAAGCAGTTCTTCATGAAAATAAAAGGAGCAGAATAACTATAATATTGTTGCACACAAGTGTTGATGTTCAGCAAGGCCAAAAACATTCGATATATGAAACCTAATTTCAAGCATTCAAGGCCAGCATAGGAGGAAGACTAGCAATGGCCTGTCCATCGCCAAACAAGCGCTTCCACTGACTTTTAACTTTCTCATAGACCCTAACTCTTGCAACAGATATAGATAACAGCATGCCCTTCCTCAGCTTCTTTAGTTTCTTGCCAATCTTGATCTTTAACCTACACAATCTGAGTCTCAAAGATGGCCTTCTTCTAGGGGAATCTGCTTGTTGCAGTGCCTTGTAGATCAAGAATTGTGCTCTTCTATGCATGACCTCTTCTGGGTCTTCTTTACCCAACTTTGAGTAGCCATATGATGATCTCCTCGCTAGGATACCCATCTCCTCTCTAGAAGAAGAAGACGAAAAGTAACAGTGAGGAAATCTTGGAAGCTTAAAGAGAGTAAATAAAGAAGCAATGCTTAATATTTTTGGACAAGTTGAGGTGATCAGACATGTTATATTTATAGCGACTTGAAAAGAACTGCTGGTAATTGGAGTAGTGTGTGATGGGGCAAGTTGGAGGATGTCATCTGATGATGAAGCAGTGCATGTGCACTGATGTTTGGTAGGAAAATAATGGGAAAAGCTGGCCTCTTGAGCTGGCCATGCATCAAGGTTTGAAAACTGCTGCTGCTCCTAACATTAGTTTATTGATTTTGCAATCCATCATGACAGTTCTTCGATGCTGCAGGCTTATGCCAATATTAAAATTGATTCACGCCAGCATGAACAATTTAGCTAGCAGAAGCAAGTGACGAGTAGCTAGCTTAATTGAGGATTAATAATGCATTGCTTTCTTGTGGATGGAAAACTAGGGGAGTTTCGTATTGGGATTTCGTTGGGGAAAAGATGCTGGCTAGCTAATTAAGCAAGGAGGATCACAAAATCATATGCACATCTTGGCTGATTTAATATGCTAATTGATATCATTAACTAGTAATTAAGGACTACTTGCCCTTAATCATGATCATTCGATCTACACTGAATATCATCCTCTATATATTTAGACCCTTCATTTCATTTATCCATATAAATATTCGATACCTAAATCGTTTGTCTAGTGCTTTAGGATATCAAAGAGGATTTAGAAATAACAAAAATATGTTTAGTCAGAGTCATTAAAAAAATAAAATAAAATAAAATTGTTTATAAAACCTAAGAACATACCCTTTATTTTTACTGGTCATCTTTCTGATCGCAAGATAGCAACGAAACTCTATTTAAATATTAGAAATGATAAGAAGTGGTTGGTCGGTGAAACTTGAGATCATATTTGGGAACAAATGTGCAGCAGATATATATGAAAATATGCAGATATAAAGAAATTTAATAAAATTCTGGATATTAATAATGTTTTTTAGGACAGCAGTCTTCATTTACGAGGTGGGACTAGTTCAAGTGCGCTGCACATTCACAAATCATGGAGTCATCCATAACTTTGAATCCGTCATAATTTTCTTTTAATAACAATAAATGATTTTCTATTTGAATTATTGTATTTATATTATTGAAGAAAGCAAGAATTATTGGCATTAAATATTCAGATTAACAGAGCAGGCTGCATGATTCACACCCTAGCTGAGTATAAAACTGTGCTTGATATCACCGATCAATTTTTATCTTATTAAAATCCTTGAGCTCTAGAGTCAACAGGGGAAGCATGCCTTGCTTAAAATAGACCAAATTTCCACCGGCATGAAGCATCTTTGACACAAAACATACTAGAATATATATATATATATATATATATATATATATATATATATATATTTTTTTT